CTTTAGTAGTACTAAACTCAAACTATTGAGTTTCACTCATAGCAAGGTCAACCATGCAATACATTAAACAAAATCACCTTCTTCCATTTGATTATGAAGGAATCCTGAGATGTGTAGTCCATTGACAGGATTGTCTTAATATGTTCAATTTAGGCATGTGCCACTAAAGTGACCAGAATGAGACTCATCAAGAGATCTGCAAACAAAATCCAAAGTTGTGGCACAGTGGTAATGTTCCTACCTTTGAGAAAGGAGGCCTGGGTTCAAATCCCACCTGCTCCAGAGGCGATAATCATAGAGTCATACAGCACAAAAAGAGACTATCCGGTCCAACCAGTCCACGCCACACATAATCCTAAACTAAACTATTTCCACCTGCCAGCTCTTGGCCCATAGCTGTCCAAACCTTTGCTATTTATGCGCTTATTTAAGTTTATTTTCAATGTTGTAACCATGTCCGCATCCACCATTTCTTCATGAAGTTCATTCCACACCATCCTCTGTAAAAAATATGCCCCATGTGTAATAACATCTCTGCACTGGTTGATTAGAAAATATCAACAAAACCCAGAGCCAGTAATAGTTTTTAAAAGGACATTATTTTTCCTGGTGCAACAACTATTCACATATTTGGTCACAAAATGCATTCTATTTAAAAATGTTTTGTTTCCAAAATGCCCTACATGCTGATTATTTCCCAGTAAAAATATTCCAACATTACCAAACTAATTAGTAATTTTTGAACAGTTTGTTGCTTATAACAAAGGTTTCACAATTATCATTGGTGAATTTCATCAGAACTGTTCAGACAAAAAGACACCTGGATATAAATTGTCCCATTGGGAACACCCAGCATGGGTTCATGAAGGGTAGGTCATGTTTAACTAATTTGGTGGAATTCTTTGAGGACATTACTTGCATGGTGGACAATGGGGAACCTGTGGATCTGGTGTATCTGGATTTCCAGAAGGCATTTGACAAGGTGCCACACCAAAGGCTGCTACATAAGATAAAGTTCCATGGTATTACAGGTAATGTATTGGCATGGATAGAGGATTGGTTGACCAGTAGAAAGCAAAGAGTAGGGGTAAATGGGTGCTTTTCTGGTTGGCAGTCAGTGGCTGGTGGTGTGCCTCAGGGATCAGTGTTGGGACCGCAATTGTTTACAATTTACATAGATGATTTGGAGTTGGGGACTAAGTGTGGTATGTCAAAATTAGCATCTGACACGAAGGTGAGTGGTAGAGCAAAGTGTGCAGAAGACACTGAAAGTCTGCAGAGGGATATACATAGTCTAAGTGAGTGGGCAAAGGTCTGGCAGATGGAGTACAATGTTGATAAGTGTGAAGTCATCCATTTTGGTGGGAATGACAGCAAAATGGACTATGTTTTAAATGGTAAAAAATTGCAGCATGTTGTGCAGAGGAACTTGGGTGTCCTTGTGCATGAATCGCTAAAAGTAGGAGTGCAGGTGCAGCAGGTAATTAAAAAGGCAAATGGAATTTTGTCTGCCATTGCTCGAGGGATGGAGTTTAAAAACAGGGAGGTTATGCTGCAGCTGTATAGGGTCCTGGTGAGGCCACACCTGGAGTATGGCGTGCAGTTTTGGTCTCCTTACTTGAGAAGGGATATACTAGCACTGGAGGGGGTGCAGAGGAGATTCACTCGGTTGATTCCAGAGTTGAGAGGGTTGGATTAGGAGGACAGACTGAGTAGACTGGGATTATACTCATTGGAATTCAGAAGAATGAGGGGAGATCTTATAGAAACATATAAGATTATGAAGGGAATAGATAAGGTGGAGGCAGGGAGGTTGTTTCCGCTAGCAGGTGAAACTAGGACTAGAGGGCATCGCCTCAAAATAAAGGGAAGTAGATGTAGAACTGAGGTCAGGAGGAACTTCTTCACCCAAAGGGTTGTGAATCTGTGGAATTCCCTGCCCAGTGAAGCGGTTGAAGCTACCTCGCTGAATGTTTTTAAGGCAAGGCTAGATAAGTTTTTGAACAGTAAAGGAATTAAGGGTTATAGTGAGTGGGCGGGTAAGTGCAGCTGAGTCTCAAAAAGATCAGCCATGATCTTATTAAATGGCAGGGCAGGCTTGAGGAGCCAGATGGCCTACTCCTGCTCCTAGTTCTTATGTTCTTATATACAGAGCAAATAAAAATGTGGTATTGTCAACCAAAACCACAATTACATTATTTTGTCTTGTTTTTAAACCACAGAGGAGACAGTAGCTTACTTGAGCCAGAAAGGAAACTATAGATGTTGCACAGGCAAAACGTAACCCTCTCATGTTAAAGGTGGCTATGTTGCTGTGAAACTTCACAATAAGTAAAAGGTTGGATAAGATGTGTTTTTTAGGGGCATAACTGTTCCAGAAATTACCAAAATACCAAAGAGGTGCTTGGGATTGGGAAAAATGTGATTTTTAAAAGGTGAAAAGCGTTCTTAAAACAACAACTCAAATCACAGACCACAAGGATCTGATATCGACTGTGTATAAAGTTATAGAAACAATAAAATAATTTGATAATGAGATGCAAAATGGTTTCACGAAGGGGTGCCCTGTCAATCTAACCAATTTTCATTTAGGATGTTGATGGGGTGAAGCTACATTTTTGGTATACCTGGATTTCAGCAATGCTGCTGTTACAGTTTCTCTGGGAGAGCTAGTACAGAAAATAAAGTTAGCAGGAATCACTAATTAATGATAGCTTAAAGTGGCACATAATGCTTGAGCAAAGAATCTAGAGGGTGATGTTTACCACTGGGGTTACTCCAGGGAGTTATTATGGAATTTCTTGTTTAACATCTTTGTATTAATGATCTATAGTCATGTGTCACAAGCACTATATCTAATTTTATAAATGATAAAAATCTGATAAACAAGGTCATTTGAAGAGCCGACCAGCATAAGGAACAGAACATTTTGAATGTATGTGGTACTTGAACACACAGGTAGCAGATTAAATTCAATGTAGACAAGTATTCACATGGAGATTTGTTTTAAAATCAGACTATTTAGATGAAAAGAAAATCACGTGCACAGAAAATGAAATAATTCTGGGGATCCTGATTGACAAAAATACTGAAACTATCATAACAATGCCTACAGCCAATGAGTAAAGCAAGTTAGATGTTGGGATATGTTAAAAGGTCAATATTAAGCTCAAACAGTGTGGTCATCCTGCTAGTACATACATCATTGATATACCTACAGGTGGATTACTATGCACAGTTCTAGGTCCCAGAAGTTGTTTTTGTATTTGAATGGGACTAGACAATGTAGACCACGACAAGCTAATTCACTTTGCCCAGACTAGTAGAATCTTCAGATGCAGACGAGTAAATGGAAAAGTGCTAAACATATAGATTGCATTTTTATGGAGATGTGGTTGTACACAAGATTGAGTAATTTATTTTGGTACATTAAAAATCTAATGTGACATGGTAATACATATAACATATACATACACAAGGTTCAATTGCCTACTCAATTGAATTTGCAATCTCAACTGTGCTCCTGCGGAAGGTCCTAAGCAGATTCAAGTGGTTGTCCACACAAACAGGTCCAGATCAGCCATAATTTCATTGAATGGCAATGAAGAGCCAAATGTTGTCTCATATTCCTATGTAGATTAGAAAAAATAAGCTTAGCTAACTAATTGTCACATATCTCCCTAGTGTACTGTTGTATTTATGCAGTTTCCCCACACTAACACCTCCAGATTTCAAATGCAAACAAGAGAATTCAAAGTCCACGAAAGGAGGGAAGATGGGGCGGCACGGTGGCTCAGTGGTTAGCACTGCTGCCTCACAATGCCGGGGACCCAGGTTCAATTCCACTCTTGGGCGACTGTCTGTGTGGGTTTCCTTCGGGTGCTCCGGTTTCCTCCCACAGTCCAAAGATGTGCAGGTTAGGCAGATTGGCTATGCTAAATTACCCGTCGTGTTCAGGGATGTGTCGTTTAGGTGGGTTATAGGGGGATTGGTCTGGGACGGACGCTTCAAGGGTCGGTGTGGACTTGTTGAGCCGAGGGGACTGTTTCCACACTGTAGGGATTCTATGTTCTATGTACTTATGTTCATGAATACTGGTCAAGTGTTCTTGATTCATTTCAAAAGGCTCAAAGAGCATCTGCACAACTCAACACTCCTTCACACGAAGAGCTGGTAAAGTGACTGATTACAAATTGGAGGAGCAAGCAAAACAAAAACTATGAAAAGTCAAGAATACATTAGTAGTTGTGCCATAGACAACATACCATTTCAATTTTGGCTAGAAAGTGCGATCAAAACCTTTACCATGCAAGTTAAAATATTGCTTCGTACTGGACTCGATTCACAACACACCCTTCCCAACAGCTCCAACACCTTCCCCCATCCCACCTAAAGCCGAGTACGGCAGTGTAGTATTTTAAGCAATGTTATGGAAACACGTCTGGACTGCCCATTCAAATAAAACAAAGAACAAGGCTAATGTCGCATAGCAATTTCAAGTGTGTGTAGGTGTGGCTTAGATTTTAAATGCCGAGGATTTCACCAGACGACAATCACTCTCTGGTGCAAGTGAATCGCTGGCATTTACACAAACAGATTGCTCACTCGATTAAAGCATGTAAGTCGCCTGGGACAACAACAATGCACCAAACACTTGTCTGACAATCAGCTGGTGTCCTTTTAAAATGCCGCTCTGCAGTTCGCCGCCAACCCCCAAGCAAGAAACGTGAGGACTTCTCCCCCGCGACACAATAAACCGAACAACTCCTCCTTTCGCCTTTAAAATAAAAGCTCCTGGTGACTAAGGAGTCTCCCTTTCCTTCTTAACCCCACTCCCATTCCGGAGCTGCTGCTGCTGCTGCACCACCCGGACGGACAGCCACTGCAGTCCGAGGTCGCAGGCCCCAGCCTCGGCATCATCCGTCCAACAGGCGGCTACCCGATGGAGGGGAGGGGAGGGGAGGGGAGGGGAGGGAATAGTGGGGTGGGGGGGTACTCACCTCAAAGCGGCCGCGGGTGATGCCATTCATGGCTCTTGGCTCTGGCTCGCGGCCGCTCCCGGATCCAACATGGACACACCAACCGCCGCCTGACGTCACACCCTTAAACACCAACCACCTTTTTTTCAAAAAAAAACGGCCACTTTCACCTTCCCCTGTTTTTCAGACCACCTCTACCAAAAAAAAACCCACAAGGAACAAAAATTCGCGGCGACATCAGGGCATGGCCCTTTAAACACACTTCTTTTTTCGGAAAGTTTAGCTACAGGCGACGCCCCCTTCCCCCACCGCCGTCATGGAGTCAGGAATTTGGCGCATGGAGGTTGCTTGCTTGTTTGGGTTTTTGCTCTCTGTCGCTCCACTGCCGCTGAACGGAATAACGGTTTATTGTTCGCACACGTCCCCGCTCTTCAAGCAGAGGAGGAGGAGGAAGAAGAAGAAACCTCGAGATTCTCTGCCCGACTCCCTTTTCCTGACTTATCCGCTCTGTTGTTATATAACACAAAGGGTAGGAGTCCGAGTTAATTCATTAAACACAAACAACATGACAGGAACACTCAGCAAGTCTGGCGGCACCTGCACAAGAGTTAAATAGAGTTCATGTTTGACCGTTTTGTGCAGAACTGGGAAAACGTTAAGATGATTGTGTGGCAAAGGAACAAAAAACACAAGTATGTGAGGGTGTGGATTTTATTACAGTCTTGCTTATGTGCTGCTAAAGAATGTTTACAAAGTGTTTACAATATGCGGGAAACACTAATTTCATTCCAGAGACATCATACAGTGGCTACATCTTTCCATCAGTCTGCAAGGGAGAATAATGTGAAAATTGTATCACTTCTTTCGGTGAAGTCATATTAGCATTTCACAGTCAGTCTCAACCCCATACCAAATATATCTCAAGTCTCAAATTCTACTCTTTATCATACATTGTCCCAAATATCCAATTCTACCACATTTGCCTTTATTGGCCTGTGCATTGTGTGTAGGAGTTAGAATATTATGTTACCACTGTAAGGGACATTGGTTAGGCCACTTTAGAAATACTGTGTTCAATTTTGGTCTAGCTGCGAGAGAAAAGATGTTGTTAAACTTGAAAGAGTGCAGAGAAGATTTACAAGGATGTTGCCAGAGTTGCAGGGTTTGAGCTATAGGAGACAGGCTGAACAGACATCATGTTCATGGCCCAACATCATTAAAATCAAAAATAGTATGATGCAGAAGAACATGTAAACACTAATTGTTACATAAAAGCAACTTCCACACTGCTGAGGCACTCATTAACACAATCAAACAAATTTCCCTGGACTCTTCGAGTTGAGGAGTGACCTTATTGGGGTTGTATAAAATCATGAAGGGCATGGATAGGGTTAATAGCCAAGGTCGTTTTCCCAGGGTAGGGGAGTCCAAAACTAGAGGGCATAGGTTTAAGGTGAGAGGGGAAAGATATAAAAGGGACCTAAGGGGAAACTTTTCATGCAGAGGGTGGTGCATGTATGGAACCAGCTGCCAGAGAAAGTGGTGGAGGTTTATACAGTTGCAAAATTTAAAAGGCATCTGGATGGGTACCTGAATAGGAAGGGTTCAGAGGGATTTCGGCCAAATGCTGACAAATGGGACTAGATTAATTTAAGATATCTGGTCGGCATAGACAAGTTGGTCCATGCTATACAACTCTACGAATCTATCTCCCAAAGTCTCCAATTCTGACTTGTACAATAAATCCCCTCAAGTTGTGAATTCTGCTCCCTATAATACCTCTCCCCCACTCTCTAATTCTTCTCCTTATAATGCATTGCCCTAAATGTTCAATTCTACACTTAATAATACACTTTTACAAGTTTCTAAGTCTATCCTTTACAATACATCTTCCCAAGTCTTATAATACATTTTCTCAACTCTTTAATTCTACCCCTTTATAAAAATCTCCCCCCACTAGTCTCTTAATTCTACTCCTTATAATTCGTCTCACTCAAGTCTCTAATTTTTCTCCTCTTAATACATCTCACAACTGTCTCGATTTCTACCCTTTAGAAATCATCTCCTTAGTGTCTAATTCTGCTCCTTATGATACATCCATCAAATCTCTAACTTGATTCCTCATACTATTATCTAACCCAAAGTCTCTGATTTCCATTTCTTTTCACAGGGGCAATCACTGTGGAAGTTTCACAAGTCTATCCAAACATGCTGTTAGCTACTTTGGAGACGATGGGTGATTTAAGTTCTCTGTATGTTATTTTGGACTCTGCTGGACAGAAGTAGCAGATGGTTCAGCAATCAAGTCATCATCTAGATCTCTCAATGAACGCTGCCTATCTAGTCTGTTTGATTGTGTTAACGAGTGCCTAAGCAGTGTGGAAGTTGCTTTTATGTAACAATTAGTGTTTACATGCTCTTCTGCATCATACTATTTTTGATGTTAATGATGTTGGGCCATAAACGTGATGTCTGTTCCACCGCTTGTCCATCATGAGCAAGTCTTTGAAAGGCATACTTACATACTGATTGTGAGGCATTACACAGCACTGAGTAGATCTAGCAATATGTGCAGAAAGAGAAACAAAAATAAGTATTTATTATTATAACCAGACTTCAAATTGTCACTTTTCTAAGGTTCTTTTTGTTGGCTTTCATAATTCACGTTTTAATGTAGCCTTTGTGCAATACAGGCTGTGCTGGAACAGGTACCGATGACTGAATGGCCTCCATCCATGTTGCAAATTCGCTTGATACAATTATCTCCAGTTATAGAATTATAGTTGCTATTGTCAGAACTAGTACTGATCTCATATCAAATTGTCGCTGTGAGCGTATTTGGCAAATGCAGAGCAAAAATGTAAATAATTTTTCGAAGTTAGTTGACAATTTTTCCTTCTTGGAGTAAGGATCACTATTAGTACCTATGTGATGTCTTGCAGTTCCTTGAAATTTGAAGTGGTGCCACTTTTAGACATAAAGGGCTGAATCTTCCATTTTTATCCAAGTGTAACTTTGGAGAGTTTATTGGAGGGTTTCCCTCTATGGGCTACGGTGACTTTTCTGCCACAATTTTCCAAACTTCACCCCAGAATTATGTACCTGGGCTCTCGGCGCCCTTATCATTATATCATATGATTGCAGAAGCAGAGGTACTGCTGCTGCCAGAACCTTCCTGCATTCACATCACGGGCGCCATTTTAAAGCCCAGCTGCACACCAATTCAAACACTGCAAGCCAGAAACTGCCATTCAAAGTCTGGTACTTGACCATTTTTCTAGAGGAGATAACGAAGAAAGGGAAGTTGGCACCTCAGTTCACAGACAGGGATGTTGAGGTGTTGTTGGATACGATGCTGGAGAGGGTGGCTGTCTTCTTTCTTCAAGGTGGCTAAAAAAGGCCACAGCACCAAATGCTGCCAGCATAGAGTGAGATAGCCACCTGGGTCAGTGCAGTGTTGATGGTGAGAAGACGTGCTCGACAATGCCATAAAAAGATCAATGATCTTCTGCATTCCATAAGATTAAGTAGCACTATTTTCTCACTGCTGCCTCACATGCACTCTGATTGTGCCATTGGACACAATCTCCTACCAAGGCTAATAATCTACACCTCTCACTATTGCATGCAGGTCATCCTTCAATGGCTCACACTCACCTCATCTTCCCAAAATACTAAAGCTTCCTGTTCTCTGCACTTCCTACTCACTCACTGGGGAATCTCAACACTTTTCCTGTTCTTGCACCGCCAATAGCAGCTCTTCCAGCTACTTTCATCCTCATCAATTCCTCCTTTTGTCTCATTGCAGCAGAATATTTCACATAATAGAACTGGGGGGATAGACAATCCTGTTCTCGCCCCCTAGAAGGAGAAGACCCTTGAATGTATTGGAGAGGATTGAAGCCAGTAATCCGAGGATGCCAAGATCTCATATTGAGACAACCAAATAAGCTTCATTATGCTGTGTTGCACTGCTGTCTCATAATCCCTGCTTCAGGCAGTGTTATGCAAAATATTTTATCTGGAATTTATTACAAGGCCCCCTCCAAATTGATCTAAGTGTTGGAACCTTATCTTGAGGAGACAGGTCTACAATGGCCCTGTGGAACAGTAAGCTGCATTGTAACTGTGCAGAGTCTCAGTCAGCAGATTCCATTAACCATCAGTCATGGTTGCAGAGGTTAACCCTTGTTTCTCAGCAGCCATCCACGTATAGCATTCAGCCCTTTTCATGAGGCAGGAACTTAAGAGTTACCAAGAACATAGGCATCATGGCAGCTTCCAGAATACTTTGATCAGTTGAACATTAAACAACTGTGTTACAATGTGGCACTCAGTTTACTTTTGCAGTTTAAATAAGCTTCATTTGTTGCATTTCTAATGCTTTTCTTTGACAACCTAACATAGCGTGGATGAATGAGTTTCAAAAGTTTCAGAGCTATTTACTTGAGGAGGGGGTTGTGTTCATAGTTGATTGACAATTTGAGGTTATTAAAAGATTTGATCTTTAAAGTAGGTTCTGTTGACCCGGAAGAGGGCAGCAGAGTGGTGACGCTGATTGGCTGAAATGGGGAAGATCTGCATCAGTGCAGTCACTGCTTCCAGAAGGTGGTTTGCGGAGGGGCTGTTGTCAAGTGACAGTTCAACCCCAAACACTTCCTCAGTGTTTCCCTCTCTACCTCCTCCACTAAACAAAAAAAAGCACACACACTCCACTGTGAGGACCAGGAGCAAAGGGAAAGGGAGAGATCCAGGGAGCATCCTGGGAAGGTGAGTGAGGGATGACCTACCTAGGGTATTTGCAGCGATAAGTAAGGGTAAGTGCTTAATAAATTTTCTTAAACAGCTTGATTGAGGATAGAAATGTCAATCAGAGGGGTTAAGTGCTGTACTTGTGAGATGTGGGAGATCCGCGACACTTTCAGTGTCTCAGATGACTACATCTGCAGGAAGTGCACCCAATTGCAGCTCCTCACAGACCGCATGGATAGGTTGAAGCAGCAAGTGGATGCACTTAGGAGCATGAGGGTGACGGAATGCATCATAGACAGTAGTTTTAGAGATGCGGTGACACCCAAGGTGCAGGCAGCTAGATGGGTGACCGCTAGAAGGGGCAGGTAGCCAGTGCAGGAATCCCCTGTGGTTGTCCCCCTCTCTAACAAGTATACCATTTTGGATACTGTTGGGGGGACTACCTATCAGGGGGTAACAGCAGCAGCAGCCAGATTGGTGGCACCACGGTTGGGATGTAAAAGAGACTCCAGGATGGTGTGTCGCCTCCCTGGTGCCAGGATCCAGGACATCTCTGAACGGATAGAAGGCATTCTGAAGGGAGAGGGTGAACAGCCAGAGGTTGTGGTACATATAGGTACTAACAACATAGGTAGGATGAGTGACAAGGTCCTGCAGTAGCAGTTCAGGGAGTTAGGTAGAAAGTTAAAGAGCAGGACCTCCAAGGTTGTAATCTTGGGATTACTCCCTGTGCCA